TCCCCTATTTTAGCACATTTACATTAGCTACCAGTTAAATTTAGAATTGAGTACAAGGTTTTAACTTTTGTGTTTAAAGCCTTGCATGGTCTGGCTCCAGTCTACATCTCAGACCTTATTTGTCCATACTCACCCCGGAGATCTCTTAGATCATCCTCTGATAATCTATTAACCATCCCATTGTCTCGTTTGAAATCTAAAGGTGACAGAGCCTTTTCTGTATTAGCCCCTAAGCTGTGGAATTCGTTACCTCAGTCTGTTAGGTTATCATCTTCAATTCTTATTCCTGATTTTTATTTGGTTTTATGGGTTAAGCTGTTGATTTAAATTTTAACTTTAAATTGTATTTTTATCATTGTATTGTGTTACTGTGAAGCACCTTGGTCAGCATTCATGTTGTTTAAAGGTGCTATATAAATAAAGATGACCTTGACCTTTTTTTGCGTGAACATTTGGGCGGCGTTAAAGGACAGAAGAAGAAAATGGAGAAAGGACAAATTACAAGTCTCTTATCAGTTATTGCAAAATTCTTTGGTCAAATTTCAAGAGGCAGTTGCCTTGCAAAGGTCTAAATATTTCTCTAATCTGATTTCTCAAAATCCCCATTGTCCAAAGCTTTTGTTTTCTACCATTAATTCTGTATTAAATCCTCCTTCTGGGATCGGTGTTGGTCATAGCTCTGAGTTGTGTGAGAAGTTTTGCAGCTTCTTCATAAACAAAATCACTTGCATTAAATCTCAGATTGGTATGAATCCATCTCAGAGGGTTTGGTATTTACCTTCGAGATCTGCTAAATTTTCACATTTCCATCCTATCTCGCACTCTGAGTTGTTGAACATAGTGTCCAGTTTAAGATCGACCACTTGCTCTCTTGACGTTATACCAACTACGCTACTAAAGGAAGTGTTGGACGCAGTTGCACCTAATATTATTTCCATTATCAACAATTCCTTACAGACAAGTTCAGTTCCATCCTGTTTTAAACATTCAGTGGTTCATCCGCTGCTAAAGACAACAAATCTGGATCCTGCTGATTTGAACAACTATAGACCTATTTCAAAATTGCCATTCTTATCAAAAGTATTGGAGAAAGCTGTTTTAAATCATACTGTGAAGCACCTTGGTCAGCATTCATGTTGTTTAAAGGTGCTATATAAATAAAGATGACCTTGACCTTTTTTTGCGTGAACATTTGGGCGGCGTTATGCAAATCTTCCCACACAGTGACGTAGCCATGTGGGGGAGTGTTTAAACGAGGCGTTTTACTATATATGGTCCCATATCACATTTATGCGGATGATACCCAGTTGTATATGTCAATTAAACCTGGGTCAAAGTCCTTATCCGACTTGCTTGCTTGTGTAAACGACATTAAAAGCTGGATGGGTGATAATTTTCTTCAGTTAAATGAAAACAAGACTGAAATCATTCTATTTGGCTCCCCCCATTTGGTTAACGGCATGTCCTCTAGTTTAGGATCCTTGCAAGCAAATATCCAACGAACAGCTTGTAACACCAAAGAGAAAGGAAAACTTGAAATTGCATCATATGAACCCTTTAATATATACATTACGATAATGAGAATATGGGAAATGGTGTGCTTAATTGTAATGAAAATAATGTCACAGTATATAATTGCATTATGATCCTGAAAATAGGCTTGATTTTCCTTAACCTTCATCTTGTGCTCCAGTCGTTTGGCCCGGAGAGGATTTTATTTTTCCTATTAATGTTTTCACATTGAACTAGAACTTACTGACTTTGTTCACACAGGGTATAACAACTTTCCAAAAAAAAATTTGTCCCCCATCTTGTTATACTTGTGCTGTTTACATTTTTACAGTCAAAAATTACCATGCAAAAAAATTATTGCTTAAATTTCTGTTTACACTATATTATTACTAGTGGTGTGCGATTATATATATATCATCTACGATAATATCATAATTGTCGTTTTAACGATGTGCGATTTGATTTTATCGAGTATATGCAAAAACCAAACAAAACACACCTACAGAGTGCACGCTTACATTACGTGATGAAGTCTAGTAGGTTAGAATTCAAGATATGGGGGCAGAAAATTTATACATTTATATAATTTCATATAAGTTAATTAATATTACATGAAAAGTAAAAAAAATAATAATTTAAATACTCGCAAATATCAGTTTTCAACGTTTTATGTTTAAAATATCAAAACATTATTTATGCATTTGTAACTGCAGGTTAAATCATTGCATGTCCCTCTGAGCTGAATTAAACAGTGTGGAAACACATCTAAATGCCACTTCAGATGCAGCTTCTGTGTGTCCTCTGCATTGCAAAGATGAATTTTGTTAAAGATGATGCATACTTTTAGAAAATATGGCTTTATAAAGGTAACAATGCCCATAAAAGGTAAAAATCAATTTAAAATTATTGGAAAAGATTCATCTCTGTCACTACTGTGAACTGATCATCACCACACAGAATATGAAGAATATCAAAAACATTAGGAGTCAGCTGTCCACGGTAGTCCTTAAGATGTCAGTACAATAACACACTCAGCAAAATATCATCTAATTATCGTAATCTTTAATCGTAATTTTTGTTGTTGTTCGTGAATGTATTGTGACAAGTTTGTACATAATGGGTACTTGTCCTTGTGTTGTATACGCACCTTCTGTGAAAATGAATTTCCTCTCTGAGGACAAATAAAATTATCTATCTATCAATAAAATCCCAGAAAATATCGAGATATAATTTTTTGTCAATATCGCGCCCCCCTAATTATTATTACCAAATCTTGGATTGAATCTTTTTGTCAGCTCGTTTTCTTTTGTTTAGCACAGGTTTTGTATTTCTTTTTGGCATTGACTGATCGTAGGCCTCATTGCTCTGAGCTCATTCACCTCAGTTTTTGAGTGAACATTTCCAATGTTGATCAGTAATAATGCAAAAAATGTGTGGATAATTTTGGCTTTTTTCACTCAGAAACTGAGGTGCATAATCTCATATCAATGAGGTCTACGATCAATCAGTTCCAATAAGAACAAAACGTGTGCTAATTGAAAGAAAACAAGTTGATAAAAAGATTGCATCCAAGAATATTTGTAATATTATAGTATAATGAGAGATTCACAAGCAGTTTTTAAAATGCCAGTCATTTTTGACTGGGAACAGCAAATTTGGTAAAGGATTTTCAGCACAGCACAAGGGTTATAATTTACAAAAGGGTTACAAAATCGAATTTGTTGTTTTTTCTTATTTTTGAAGTCAAAAGTGATCTAGACATGTTCTTGAGCTGTGAATGATCACTGTTGTTTGTTGTGGGGTTTGTGGGCATGCACAGACTCAGATGGCTATAAAAAGCGGGCGTCCGTGCTCCTTTCTGTTCTGTTTGTTTCTCGAGCAGCAAACAAGCGAGTGTATGAGCTCACGGGTCTGCAGGAGTTAAAAATGACCAAAACACCCCAGCCAGAAAACACGGATGAAATTATTTGCCTTCAGCTCTGTGAGATCAGTGTGAAAACCGTGAGAATAACACTGTCATTTTGATCTGGAAACACTAAAACCCCTTAAAAACGTGTTCTTGATTAGTTTGGGATGCGTTCTTTCTCCATGTTTCTGTGTCACTCTCTTGTGTAAGTGACATAAATAAGTACTCTTAGGTCCAGATGGATGTTGAGCTTCTTGAAGACGTTCCTCTAATGGCTCAGGCATCTTCTCCAAATGGATGCTGTGGCTCCGGCTGTGTGGATGTGTAGCGTCCCGATCCTTTAATCTTGCTCAGACTGCAGAGAGCTGTTAGTCATGTGACCATCTGTCCTGGTGTCCTAGACGACCCCATCAGACCCAACATGAATGCTCTGGCCAGAGCACAGTCCGTCTGTTATGAGGCCAGAGAGATTCCACTCTAATTAATGATCCATAAGGGATCCAATCAGATTTTGTGGCTGGAATTTTCAAAGCTTTTACTATTCTTATAATATTATTAGTGTAATTATTACTTTGTAATACTGTATGAAAATTTTGGATTATAAAACTGATAGTTCAAGTGCTGAATTCTGATTGGATGAAATATAAAACTTAGATTAACACACTCGTATGATGCACATTGCATATTAACGCATCAAGTTGCCATGTCGCTTGGCAATCATAAACTAAATAAAATTATGCTGTTTAATTATGAGATTCTACTCAGAGCATTTATTATTTCATGTTATTTGTATTTTATAATTCTTATTATTTATAAATATTTTAATTGAATATTTAGATTAAACGTATATATTTTATTAAATGTCAATTAGAATTTTATATATATTATATATATAATTTAATTATATTATTTAATTTTATTAGTACTAATTAATAAAAATAAATTAAATTATTATTAATTAATTGATTATTTTATTATTGATTGATTTATTATTTTATATTATTACTTTATTTTTCCTATAGCAATAAATAATTCATTTTCCTCTATATGCTTTCATGAAATATTTTCAAAATAAAGCACACTGGGTGCATCTTAAACTCAAGATGGTTACTTACATTTTTTGTGATATCACACCTGCAAAGCTCTTGCAGAATTTCCCCAAAAAACTATAACATGCATTATATGTGCCTCTTCTTATTATTTATTTTAAATAGTTTGTGACATTCAATGGAAACTCATAATGCATGTTTGCATTTCTCTTTATTGTCTTAGCTCTGACTGCGGCCGCAGGACGGGGGAAGATGGAGGTGTGCAGCTTCCTGTTGGAGCGGGGGGTGAAGGTTCAGCAGGTGAACAGGAGAGGAGCATGTGCCCTGTTCTGCGCAGTCCGACAGGGACACTGGCAGGTGAGTCCCTGCAAAACACCCGAACAACACAAACAGCAGTACTTCCTCTTCAGAAAAGATGTTTAATGAAGGAACGCCTCTCTTTCAGATTGCAGATCTGCTGCTGCAGCATGGGGCGGATGTGAATGTAAGCGACAAACAGGGCCGAACGCTGCTGATGGTGGCCGCATGTGAGGGGCATCTCAGCACGGCCGACTTCCTGTTGTCTAAAGGTGAGTGACGTGCGCAAATGCACTTTATTTATCAGCATAATCTGTTGCAGTTGTTGGCATTTATAATGCAACAAAGTAGAGCAGCAAAAAAGTGGCAGGTTTCCAGCAAGAGTTCAAATGAACTTCCTCTGCTTTTCCCAGGTGGCTCTTTAGAGTCGGTGGATAAGGAAGGGTTAACTCCGCTCAGCTGGGCGTGTTTAAAAGGACACAAGAACGTTGTTCAGTTTTTGGTGGAGAAGGGTGCAGTTATCGACCACTCGGACAAGAATGGACGCACTCCGCTGGACCTGGCTGCTTTCTACGGAGACGCAGACATCGTAAGTGAAGAACATTTTGTAGAGCCGTGATCGAGGCTCATGGAGGTCAGCAGGACTCTTTCTGATGTAGATACAGTGTGTGAAGTCACAGGACTGGTGCATTGGATCATGAGAGAGATCAAGGGGTTTTTTTGGCAAGTTTTTGCCGCTGTAGCTTGATGCATTTGGATTGAGTTAATAAATGGATGCAAAATCATAATATGAGTTTAAAGGGTTAGTTCACCCAAAAATTTTAATAAATAAATAAATTATTTATTCACTACCAATGAGAGGTTTGAGGACTGAAAGTTTTTTTTTTTTTAATGTTTTTGATAAGTCTCTTCTGCTCAGGGCTGCAATTATTTGATCAAAAATACAGTAAAAATTGTGAAATATTATT